CTCCCTGAGGGCAGATGCCTCCTCCGTCAGACTGGGGTCTCCCTGAAGACAGGGGCTCTCCCACCTCCCTCAGTCTCTGCTCTGCCCAGATGTAGCCCCTCTGCCCCCTTCCCCAGCCTCCCCAGGGCCCCCACAGCCCCCAGTGCCCAGCTATTTCGGTTCCACATCTGCCTGCCTGGGCCCCGCGTGGGCCGCCTTAAAGATGGATTCTTAAAATAGTCACCGCGCGGTTTTCCCTGAGGCAGTGCGGCGGGCACTGAGCAGCCAAGGAGGGGCCGCTGGCCTGGGTGTAATTAACACCCGCTGCTCCCAGCAGGGTTGGGGGAGCCTGGGGGCCAAGGCCTGCTTTGGGGGGTGTCTGAGGACACCCCCCTGCCATCAGGCACCAAATCCGATGTCAATGGTCCCCATGGGCTGAGAGCTTTACATAAATTAGCTCTTCCTACTGCCCAGGGGCCTGGTCCTTTCCTTACCCTGTGTGTCAGAGGGAAACTGAGGCATGGGGCAGTGAGAGGATCCCCCCACCCAAGTCCACACAGCAGGCAGCAGAGCCAGGACTCGGGTCCAGCGCCCACTCCTCTGACCAGTAGGATCTGGCTTCCCTAGATGTGAGCCTGGTATACATGCAGAGCCAAATTAATGACCCTCCAGCCTCCTCTGAGACCAGAGCGGTGAGGGATTCAGCAAATGCTTAATAAGCACCCTGGGTACTGCTAGGGACGTGGTGAGACGGGGCTGGAGGAGCTAGGCTGGGGAGGTTGGGCCCTGGACCCGCTGTTGCTAACGGTGCCTCTCCATGATCAACTGTCAGTCACCGAACAAGCATCAGCTAAGCACCTACTGCATGCGGACGCTGGGAACCCCCATGGGAACCTGACAACCTCACAGGCTCACGGCCTAGCTGGGTGGAACCTAATGTCGCCAAGAAAGTGAAACAGACAGGCGAGGCCCAGGGGGCTTTGTCCACACCAGGCGGGGGCCGAGGCAGGCAGCTCACTCCAGGTTTATTTCATGGCATTTTGGGGGTGTGGGACAAAGACCCCCCTCCAGCCCCTAAATTGGGCCTTTTTTTCTCCCACGTGACGGGGACCATCCTTATGGGATCCCATCGATGTCAGAGCTCTGTGCCCGTCAGGTGTGACTGGATACACCAAGGTGAAGGGTTTGAGGGCTGCACAGGGGCCCCCAGCACTGGAAGTTTGGCCTCCTCCCTCAGACTGGATGGTTTCCCAGGATTGGAAAGGGGCAGGTCTCCTCCCTCAGACCCACAGCTGGTCAAGGTGCTGCGATCTGTGCCTCCCTCTTTGACCGGTCCCTCCGCCCTCAGACTAGCAGAAACAAATTACGCCTGAAAGTGGAGGAGTGGGTCTCCTTCTTTCTTAGACCCAGAGCATTTGGCAAAGTCTTAGAAGCAGAAAGAATCGGCAGGGGTACCATTTCATCCCCAAAAGCATTAGACCCCAAAGGCAGAAACATTTCTAAAGGAAGATAGACACGGAAACGAAAAACCCTCCAGTCCCAAATGCGCCCGTGGCGGGATTGTTGGCAGATGAGCTGTGGTTCTTGGATCCTGGATCTAGGATCCATTTCCTAGGGTGGGGGCTTGGCGATGGTCTTGGCAGTTTCCACAAGGGTCAGGGCAGGGCAGGGGGTGGGCGCCCCATCCCGAGGCTCAGTCATCCTCCTCACTGGCGTAGATGCGGGATTCCCAGCGCTCTGCCATGGCGTTCTTGTGACGGGTCACCCGTATGGCTTCCAGGACCTGCAAAAAAGAGGCATGAATTCCACCGACCCAGGTCCTAGCCACACCCCCAATACATCTCCTCCAACTGCCAATTCATTAGAGAGGCTTAGAACAGGGGTAAAGTAGGATCCCCTCCTCTGTTTCAGACCCTCTACTCCTAGTAATATGACCAAAGAATATGTAACTCAGGCTGACATCCAGCGCAGGAAAAGTGTCTGTATTTGACATTTTTCTGTTTTTGAGACGGAGTCTCCCTCTATCGCCCAGGCTGGAGTGCAGTGGTGCGATCTCGGCTCACTGCAAGCTCCGCCTCCCGGGTTCACACCATTCTCCTGCCTCAGCCTCCC